CATTCCTCAGGTGATGGGCATCTTGGTTGTTTCCAAGATTTGGCTATCACAAATTGTGCTGCTATAAACATAGGCACACATATATCCCTATGATATGCATTTCTATTATTGGGTGGCACTAAGGACATTTCCATATGATCATAAAACATCACTTAGCTTTTATTTCCCTAGACTTGCTTTTTCTATTTTTCTTTCGTTTCTAGGTATTGCAGCACTGCCATAAGGCATCTAAGAAACTAAAGCACTAAAAACATTCAGTAGTGTCATTTCAAGTTACAGTACTTTTCACTGGCTATATTTTCATAAAAAGAGCAAAAATTAAAGACAAAAACAGATTAAACAAAATATGCACTGACATCCAAAATAACCATGATACAACAGTAGCTTCCTAATCACAGTGCCCGTGCTGCAGCCACAGGATGGGATGAGACAACCAAGCCTGCTGTGCTCAACTGTCACAGCCAGATGGCCAGACTTCAGCTAACTGAAGGCAGTGCTACCTTCCTGTGCGACAACCAAGTCCGTTCCAGTTTTCTAACTCACAGATTTCTGCTTACAATGTTAGTCATTTTTCCACTCTGGTTGCCTACAGTTTGTGCTTTCTTTTCTAACAATGAGCTGGGGACTTGACTCACTTTTATAATTTTCTATCGATAAGAATTCTCAGGGCAATGAACACTGTTCTGAGCACTCCTTGGCTTCTGTTAGGTTGTGATTACATTACTGCTATCATCCAGTTACTCTGTGGTTGTAATTTCAATCCTTGTTTGACCTAAACAGTGTGAGGTTAAAAATTCCCCAGCAGAGTATTTGTTTTCTGACTTTATTCTTACCTTATAGTTGCATTTAATTAGGATCAGAGAATTTGTGTCTCTCTTCTGCTTTTCAGAGAAGAGGTTTGGTTTCACTGAATAGTTTAGGAGGGGATGGAGAAATGTTATTTTAATATTTTCTTTCTAGTCCCCTCTTTTCCAGAGCTACAGGCTGAGCTCGGGACTTTACTCTGTGCCATATCCCCAGCCCTTCACCTTGTTAGTTTGAGAAGGTCTCACTAAATTGTGATCCTCTTCTCTCCTCCCAGGGTGCTGGGATTACAGGTATGCACCAACAGGCCCAGCTTAAAAACTATTTTAAATTTTTCATTTGTTTTAACCATGATTTAGAAATGTATCTGCTTTCTAAATTTCATATAGAAATCACTTCTAAGGGCCAGCGGTATAGCTCAGCGGACTAAGCGCTTGCTTAGATAAGCGCAGGAGCCAGGGTTCAATACCTGGCTCCGCCTGCCGCGCCGGCCCCACCTTCGGGTGCGCTGAGCTGGCGATGGAGCCCGGGCGCGGTGGTGCGCCCCTGTAATCCCAGCACTTGGGAGGCAGAAATCAGGAGGATCACTACTAATGTGGGCTATGTAGTGAGACCCTGAGCAAAAAAAAAAAAAAAAAAAAAGAAAATCAAGAAATCACTTCTAAATGCCTTCTAATTCAATCATATATTTAAATGATATGGTTTGTGTGGTATCAAGTGTTTAAATATTACTTGCTTTATATATTGATAGAAGATGGAGGGCCAGGGATAATGCTCAATGGCACAGACACCTGCCTGGCAAATGCAAGATCCTAAGCTGATTCCCAATACCAAAATAAAAAAAAAACCCAAAAAACAAAAGGTGATGCAATTTTTTTCCATACTTCATACATGCTTGGGAAGCATGTAATATCTACTTACAGACATTTCTCA